CCGATCGAGCGTTACTACGTCAAATAGATTGGCGTTGCGAGTGTTTACGAGAGCGACTGAAGCTTGTGCAGTCTTCTAACGAATGGACTGATATTTCTGAGGAGCTTATCGCTGCGCTTATTCACTCTTATGAAGTGCGTCACAACTGCAACGTAATGTTGGAATCAGTTTGCATAGGTTGCAGTGAGGGACGGATTGGAGCAGCCCAGCAGTAGCAGCGGCAGTAGTTACTACAATTGTTGAAACTGGTAATATCTGTAGTGGTAGAAGCAGGAACAGCAGCAGCACCATGAATGCATGAAAATCGAAGTGCAGCACAAGTCTCGCCACTTTTTTAACAATAAACCTAGGCTGGAATGTACCCATGGCACGCAGGTGCGATCATGCGTTTTTGCACCAGACTTAAAGCACTCAAGTCGCTAACTGCGTGAACGGTTGTTGCTTTACATCTACTTTTTGCGCTCACTAGCGTAAATCATCGTAAACTTTACAAAAAGGGGGTGAATAATTTTCATTTAACGATCGCTGTTTGAAAAAGACCTGTGCTGTTCAATGAGCAATTTTCCCGCTAAAACTTTTCAGTGCCCGTATCTGAGAACCATGCATAACTAAGGGCTGAGTTTGAAACATTTAAGTTGTACTTGGACAGGGAGCGTCCTTCTAAAATTCCAGCTTTCCAGCCTTTTTGGTTCTCACGTTAGTAATTTTCCCACTAAAACTTTTATATGCCTGTACGTGAGAACCACGCACACTTGGAAGCTGTATTTAAAACCTTTACGTTGTACTTGAGCAGGGAACATTCTCTTAAAATTTCCTTCAGCTTTTCTGAATGCCGAGTTGACAATTTTCTTGACAAAACTTTCACGTACCCTGCATGCGGGCTGAATTTTACACCTGCGGGCTGAATTTGAAGTCTTTGGCTCACACATGCACAGAGGATACTTCTGAAAAGTCAGCTCTCTGTCTTGTCTGCTTCCCGAGAGTGTTTTCCCGCCAAAAAATTCGTATATTTTTTTAAGGCGTTTGTATGTGGGACCCAGCCGTACGGGAGTGATGATATTAAAATGGTAGAATTGTACATAGCGTGGAAACATGCTCCCGAAACCTCAGCCTACTAGCTTTTCTGGCTCTTGAGCTGAAAATGGGTGACAAAAAATGCGAGCACACAGACACACACAACACACACACAAGCAGCCGCCTCTTGCCAATATGCGTTTTTGCATTTGCATATATGCAAAAACGCATAGAGATTAATTTGTTTAGGTTTCTTGATGTCGTACTTTTAAGTGGTTATTTGCAGGTAAGCGCACGAAGTGTGCTGCATTTTTCAGTGACTGAACTGAAGCAGCGAGCGTTAGCATTATGTTGGGCGATCAACGAGCATCTGAGTAACAGCTATAATGGTACGCTTTTGTTCTCCCGGATAATTTAGCAGCAACCTGGCCAGACGACGTGTGCGCAGGGCTTCACCAATTAGTAATAAAACATTTTAAAAAATTAAGCCGGGAAAAGGAGAAAAGAAAAATTTTTTACAAACTGCAGAGGAATTTTTCGGTCCATGAAATCATACACATTTTACCATAATTGGATCAGTACTACTGTTGTGGCAGGACGAAGAGGGTTCTTAAACACAGTAATCAATATTATGAAAGTTAGTTTTTGAATAATAAGTTGAAGAGATTGAGGAGGTATGCATATATAGAAGACGAAATGTAATTAAAAGGTAAAGAAAGGAAAGACAAAATCATTTTTTTGAATCGCACACCCGGTGTGAACCCGTAATTGAAGACTGCACGATTATTGTGCTCGCTACTCCACAGCGACCATTGTTCAGTAACTTTGGTAGTTTGTAGTACTAACTTAAAACAAACGGTCTTAACTCGATGGGACTTGAGGAACTGCTTAATAGCACTGCAGCAGCGGACGAATGACCTGGCAAAAAGTTATGCCAATGTTGCCCGAAACTTT